TGGTGCACAGGAATATGGCAAAGGCTTCAGTCCAAGGCAGGCAAATAAGGCATGATTATTCATAAACAGCCACTGGGGCTTTCTCATTTAGAGCAAGGAAACATTAGCATTCGAGGGCAGGTTAGGTACCGGCGTCTCAGGAAAACTGAAGTAACACCGTCATTTCGTGATTTGGACAAGAGACCGTCCTGTCATTATATTTACTAACAATAACTACAAATAGTGAATAGCTCGTTCATTTTGAAATCATATGCCTGTGAAGCATTTTTTAAAGAACAATACAGGTTTTGTCGTGGGTTAAAGATAGTAACTAAATCTGCTGTCAGATGAAGGAGTACGATCTTCATTACACATTCCCGATTTTCCCTTGCTCATTAGAGGTAGATCAGACAAAGATGATATAAATGAAGTGCTAGGGAAAACAGCTGGACCCTAAGCCACGTGCTGCTGCTCCATGGCACCAAATCAGAACGGAGGACCAGGTGCGATAGCTGCGCAGTAATGGAGCAGAGCACTGGTGGTGATTAGGTGAGTACAGCAGGCGGCGCCAGGCCGCACGTTATAGACGCGGGGTACTAAGGAATGCAGCTTTACTCCCACTCTTTTGAAGCTATTTTAAGACATGGGCCGTCACCCAATTATTTTTTAATTCTGCTGTACTTCAAAATTTCTTTTTAGAATTTTTGTCATCCCTCTAACACTTTTCATGACTCATTTTCTGAAGTGAGTGTTTTTCCCACCAGTGATTCTCTTTCTGGCCTATCTGCAAAGTCCCAGGTCCATATATTTCAATTTTCCTTCTGTTCTTTTTGCTCCAGTGAGACTAATTTCTCTATTATCAGTAAGATTTCCTTCTGGGGAAATCCAATAATTTCTTTTTCCGTCTTTTCCTGTTATTTTCCCTATCTGCCTCATCTGGCACTGTTGGAAATATAACAAAAAGTAGAAAGGCTACAAGTTAAATTGTCTTTAAAGAGGTTAATAGCCTCATCTACTGAAAATGATAGTTATCCTGAAAATGGAGAGGAGTTGATTCAAGATTAGGAAAGAACAAAATAGAAGCAGTTTTAAAAAAGGAAAGAATCAGAGAATTTAATTATAAATTTGTCAGTGGTCTGACAGTCTGGAGGGAAAGAAAATGAAAACAGACAGCTAAAAATAGGAATAAAGTCGAAAAGAATATGTTAATACACATTATTTGTAGACAATAACATGTGGATTATAACTTTGAGGCCTATAAAAATAAAGTCAGAATATTGTGATTATTTTTAGTCTCCAAAGAATATACATGTTATTTTCTTAAAGACAAAACATTAATTATAGCTTTCAGTATGAGTCTATGCTCATGCTAGAAATCATCAGCTAAACAGAACCTCTCCAAGTGTTTAGAAAGACCATAAATACAGAGGAAAATGTGGCAAAGATGGCAGCTGAGGAAAATATCATGAGACTAGTACGTTCTTCATCTGCACCCAAGGCTTGAACTTCAACTGTGAACTTGAAATCTCACCTTAGATTTTCAGTACTGAGTTTGCCTGACATAAGTGACAAAACAGAGTTTTCAAATGAAGATGCAAGAATCATTGAAAGAATGTAGGGCAAGCCAAGTAGCTCAGCAGATTAAAGTGCCCGCAAGCAGGCACAGGGGTTGAGGTTCGATCCCTGGGCATGCCGTGCTGCCCCTTCCCCTGGGGTGCACTGAGACAGAGATTGAGACTGGGCATGGTGGCGCAAACCTGTAATCTCAGAACATGGGAGGCTATAAACAGGCAAATCACTATGAGTCCAATCTAGTAGTGAGACCTTTAATACCTTGTAGACCCTTCCTTAAAATACAAAAAAAAAAAAGAAAGAAAGAAAGAAAGAAAGAAAGAAAGAAAGAAAGAAAGAAAGAAAGAAAGAAAAGGAAAGAAAAGAAAAGAAAGAAAAAAAGAAAAAAGAAAGAATGTACACAATGGACAATATTAAATTTAGAAGAAATCCTGGCCCACGGCTCTTAAATCCATATGAACAAGAAAATTGGCTTAACACTTTTGAGATGCAGTTTTCTGTTCTGTGAAATGGGGAGCCTTTCTAATTAACTTATCTATTTGCAGAGTGACATCTCAGAAAGATGACATTTTCTTTTGCTTAAACTTCCTGAGCCTTTGTCTCTTCAGTAAAATAAATAAAAGATTGTGTTAATTTGTATTCATGTGCAATGAAAAGTCATTAAAATTCAAATATATTTGTGGTTAATTGAAACTCAGAGATTCACAATAAACCATATCTATTTAACCATATCCAAAGTAAATAATATGGAATATATAAATTAATAATTTCTTAAACCTGACCAACTATTCTCCTACATGGTATAATAGGTCTACTATTTGGTATATGCATGTATCAAAAAAACAGGTAGACAATTTGATACTTTTTCATCAGGTATGAATTTAATTCCAAGCACTTTATTATATATTATAGTATATTCCATATTTATATCACTTAGTTATGTTGCATATATATTCCAAATGTGCATGCATAGACTTTTAAATAAATCTGAAGGAGATAAAGAAGTAGGCACAGGTATTTGCTATGTTGTCCTCCTGGTCCTATTACTTTCTATACCTATATACTGACCTGTCTGATTGTAAGAACGGGCAGAGGCAAGAAAGGAGAGAAAGAAATATTTGGGTAACAATAACCAAAAGAAGCAAGTGATAAGATGGAAGAAAAGTTGTGAAAATAAGTTTTGATATTAGATACACAGAATCAGAGGAAGGTAGGATACATATCTTACCTTATGTTTTCAGCCTCCCCAGCACTGGGATTACAGGCATGAGACACCACACCCAGATGCTGTGGCCAGCTCAGTGAGCCAGGGGACGGGTCTGGCACTGTGTGTGGTGCCGGGGACTGAAGCCTAGTCCCTGAGTTTGCCTAAGCAGGTGCTTGGTACTCCGAGTTATCTTGCTGGCTCAAAAGTTAGGCCTTAAATCTCTGAATCCAATTAGAGTTCATTACACTTCTGTCCGTAAAGTATTCAATTCATAGCAAACACTCTTCTTGAAGTTGTAATACTGAAATGTACTTCTCACACATAAATAGCATATTGTTGTGGAAAAATGTGTTTTCCTTTCACAAGCAACTGACACTTCAGTGCTATGAAAGGGAATGGCTATACAGCAGGAGTGAACAAAATAATCGGTGAGTGTTTAAGTTAAAAAATTATTACAGCACAAGTACATTATACTGCTGCTAATGCCCCTTAAAATGTTCCCCTTCATTTCAAATGCACTTGTCCCTTGTGCTCACCATTTTCTGAGGTAGTTGTGTAACTCCACTTTGGGGTGTGTCTTTAAAGTGTGATAAAAAAGAAATTCTTGGTGAATGTTTCTGCTGAGTGTCATGCAGCAGAAAGGCAAGATGGTCAGGACAGTGTGATGTGTGCTCAGCTGCCTGATCCGCTGGCTATGGCTCTGAGGAGCTCTCGGCTCTTCCCCAAAGTCAAAACAAAAGTAAATGCTTTGGATACATCGAGGACATCAAGCAGCTATCATGGTCCAATTAAACGCCAGAAAGGCAACTTGCACCGCTGCTTTGGAAAGTGACAAGATCAAAGGAATACATGCGCTCCAAATTAGAAGTTGATTTTTTTTTTCCTGTACCAGGGATCAAACTCAGAACCTTATGCTTGCCAAGCAGGTGCCTCTGCCGCTGAGCTGTCTCCCCTGCCCTGAAGGTGATGTTTTGAATTGGACTAATGTCAGTAAGTCTTTCACTGTAAATATTTAAATTTATAAATCCATCATATTTTTCAATCACACCTCATATAATAAAGTTACTTTGAAATGTGATCTTTTTAAATTCTAAAATTATTTCAAATATTTTAAAAAATTGGATAATAATAGGTTAATCCTAAAAATTGGATAATAATAAGTCAACCTATAAGTTGCTTCTTAAAGCCCTTGTCCTTTGAAGAATAATGGCTAGACCAGGGAATAATTCTAAAATATCAATACACTGATGAAGACAATAAAGTGTAGCAGAAAACTCAATGGCATTCAATGGAAAAATTTTAAACATGAGGCTACTTTTTGATATGTAATTCATTTCGATAAAAGACCAGATGAGATTGTATGATGCCTAACCTTAAACAATTAAAATATTATGAGAAGCAAACTGTTAGTAACTTAACCTGATTTTCCTATAGGTATTGTTTTTAGTTATATACAGAGTATAATTAAGTTCATCTAGTTAGAATTTAAATGAAATGTAAATGAATTGGAAGCTTTCAAATATGAAGTAAATTATGTATATCAAAGTACTATTATATTAAATGTATTGCTTCCAAATAACTGGTATTTGAAAAATCTATTTAAATTTTTCATAAAAATGGGTAAATTATGAGTCAACATTTTATACACATGAATGACAAAAAATAGTTTTATACTTCTGATGACATTGGCTTAAGTAAACTATAATAATTGAAAATATTGAGCTTATGAACTTTTTATTCAAATCACTCCCAAGCATATAATGTTCACCAGTTAGGACTCATTGGAGGCTACATTTGAAATATACACTGCATTTTTCTTATTATGAAAATGATTCCCTATGTAAAATTAAATTCTACATTGGGCATTTTGGAGGATGCTTCGTTATTTTCAATTTTTATGGAAGAAATAAGTTCAGCAGTTCATAATTTTTATTAGGCTGATAAAATAGATAGTGACTGATTAAGCCTATAGTAATTCAGCTTGAAATATCTTACTAGTATATAAAAAAAGGGGGGTGGGGATTCACAGCTGGAAACCTTCCCAGAAGCACCAAGATGACAAGGTAAAAACCAGTCTTCCACAGACACTTAATGAAGACATGGTGCAGGAATTTTTCTGCTCTAGAGATCGTTTTTGCCCATTAAGAAAAGACAAAAACACTGGCTTTCTACAGTTAAAATCCACAATCAAAGCACAAAGAAGGCAGAGTTAAAAAACGTAATTGCTCATTAAATGACTTACAGTGGTTTTCCTTTAGATTCGCAAGTCAAAATTAAAGGCTGTCCCTCTTGTGGAAAAGGAGTGGATGGTATAATCTTAACAGATGGTGTATCTACAAAAAATAAAAATTAGAAAAGTCATTAAATACACATTCATGGTATATGGATAATGGAGCATCATCTGTATGCTTGTCACATTTTACATCTCTTACAGCTATATGTTTATAAGGGATGGCTTCGCTTTAATGAAGCACTGTATGTACTGCTGAGAAGCGACCATCCTGCTCAGACAAATCTAAGGAAAATATCTGAATAGCTTATGAGCAAGACCGAAATCCAAATTTAAAAGTGAAATTGCTAAAAGTGGTTCCAATGAATATCAAGTATTTCATACAATTGTTTCCCCCACTATTTATAGATGGCTATGAATACTATTATTACAGACTGAATGCATATGTGTATTTGAATAACAACAACTTCATTGTTGCAAGAATACCAGGGACTTACGACAAGGAGCCTACAATGAACTCGAGATCAACTATTGTCTAAGAATCATTGTGCAGAATCCTTTTGAAAACACAGTAATGCGGCACTGAGCTCATGCTGCTTGCTTTTAAAGTACAGTTGGCAAATCACTCCAAATAGCTACTTACAACATTACTCAAATTTAATGTTTGGCATTATAATCCACAACATAATTGTTGGAAAATTATTTATTTTGTGTTAGTAAAATCATCCCTAGTGAAAAAAAAACCTTTAAAATACTCTAAGACATTAATGTCTGAAACTTGTATGCCACGTAATATACTTTAAAAACAAAAGTTCCTACCTCATAGCAAAAAATGGAAAATTAGATGAAATCCTAAGACACTAATATTTGTATTTCCTGTGTGTGTGTGTGTGTCTGTCTGTGTGTGTGTCTCAGGGTCCCCTACCTACTGGGCAAGTGCTCTATTAGTGAGTTATGTGTGCATCCCACACATTTATTTCTTCATAGTTCTTTGATAATTTTCCCTTTGTCTGACCCCGACATATTGATAATGTCAATGTGCTAGAACCCAGCTTTCTTATCTCCGTGATTTCTATAAAAAAATAGCTAGAGTCTGCTCATATGGTCTCAGTTATTCTCACAATTTCTTGAGTTTTAGCATAAGAATGGAACTGTTCCATCATTATATTCACTCTCTGAATACTGAGCACATTCAAATAAGTATCAATACATTACTTAATTTTCTGGTTATTTTTACAAAAGTAAGATTTATATTTTTCACATATAAAATAATAAGTGATAATTCCTTAAGATACCTTACATCATACTTTTAAATTAATGCATTTGTTCATCCTTAATTCTTAAAGCAGATAAACATACTTAAAATAATCAAAATATTATTTTGTTTACAGAGGTATTCAATATACATGATAGAAGATAATTATGGCATAAATGATCCAGGACAAAATTTATTTCATGAAGAACCCGCCAAATAGGGAAAACAAACAGAGGAGAATAAGAAGTATACAATAGTAGTCTTTCAGTTATTCTTTTGTGTTCAGCAGCAGAATATTTTCATCAGCACACTCTACAAATGGACTTCTCTTCCACCCTATGGGTCATGATTCCACCTGAGTCTACAGGGTGGATTTCAA